CCTCTTACTTTACATGCTTTAAGAGATGTTTTTTGTGTGTGTACATGTATATGTAGTTTCCTTAGTATGATTTTGGATAAGTTTTTTTGTATTATGTGTACATATTTCAATATAGCGCCCATTCTCTAAAACCACAATAATATCAGTAATAATACTCTAATACAACAAAGTTCTAAAAATTGTAATAATTACTTATACTTGGTTCATTAGGGTCATCATGGCCATCTTGTTACTTTTATGATTTGTGTATACATGTATATAGTTTACATAGTAGAACTTTGTATAATTTACAAAGATAAGTATTTTTATACGCCCGTTTGAAAAACGGGACGTATTATGGGAACGCCCCTGGCGGGCGGTCGGGCGGGCGGGCGGGCGGGCGGCGTCCAATTTTGTCCGGAGCATATCTCCTACATGTATGGAGGGATTTTAATGAAACTTCATATAAATGTTCACCACTATGAGGAGCAGTGTCGCGCACATGAACCAGGTCTCTAGGTCAAAGGTCAAGGTCACACTTAGAGCTCATTGAAAAATGCTTGTCCGGAGCAAAACTTCCACATGTATAGAGGGATTTCAATATTACTTGGCACAAATGTTCACCATTGTGAGGCGGAGTGTCGCGTGCAAGATTCAGGTCCTTGCGGCCAAGGTCAAGGTCACACATAGAGGTCAAAGTTCAGATAAAAATATGAAGATGTGTATATGGACCATTTAGTCATCATTTATTGAGGGATTGTAACACAAATGGTCATTATCAAGACTATGGCTGTGATACATATAATTTAGGTCAATATATACAAGGTCAAGGTCACTAAAGATGATGAAATATCCAGATTTTGTAAATAGAATTTAATCAAAGGGAGACAACAAAGTTATTACTTTGTTCATAAATGACTTACACAATTACTCCCCTTGATCTATTTTCTAAAAATAGAATTTAATCAAAGGGCATGAAATAATCCTCTTTCTTGGACTTGAGTATGTTGTAAAGAATGTAATATTTATTTACACATGTTTCATTCATTGGTCAAGATACTTAACTGTGATAACTATGGTGTTCTGTAGACTTGGTATTTGTTCATAAAGATCATACAGTAATTACCTTATCAAATGTAAATACTTTCTCATAGAAATTTAATTATATTTTAATTTTCAAGTAAATATCAGTTCAGCTCATTCAAAGATTAAGAATTGTAATGAAATGTATTTCCCTAGAATAAAATCTTAAATCAGAATTTTTTAGTTATTAAATTACATGTACTTTTTATACGCCCGTTTAAAAAAAGATAAAAATATGAAGATGTGTATAGGGACGATTTAATCATCATTTATTGAGGGATTGTAACACAAATGGTCATTATAATGACTATGGCTGTGACACATGTACTTTAGGTCAATATATGCAAGGTCAAGGTCACTAAAGATGGTGAAATATCCAGATTTTGTCTGGAGCATATCTCCTACTTGTATGGAAGAATTTTTATAATACTTTATGGAAATGCTCACCACCATGATATGTATTGCTCCATGCATGATCCAGGTCTCCAGGTCAAAGGTCAAGGTCACACTTAGAGCTCATTGAAAAACGCTTGTCCGGAGCAAAACTTCTACAATCATAGGGGGTTTTCAATATAACTTGGCACAAATGTTCACCATTGTGAGGCTGACCCAGCAAACATGCATATATGGGACCCATATGGGCTATATCTAGGCAAGCCCATATGGATATGCCCATATTGGACCTATATGGGACCAATATGGGCAAGTCCATTTGGGTACGCCCATATTGGACCCATATGGGTCCCATATTACAGCACTATAAGGAAAAACGATTTTTCGTTTATTTATTTCATTAGAACTTCTTTACTTTGAGCTATAGTGTGACCACCTTGGCATAAATTGCTTTTATCTTTTATAAAAATCGTAGCATTAACATATATACAAGCCATGAGGGACCCATATGGGTCCCATTCGGGCAACCCAATAAATATTAGCATGCCTGAGCAGGTGCGAGAAATTAATTTGTTTAGTTTTTATATTGGTTTTAATTTTTATAATCTAAATATAAAAATGTGTTTTTAGACTATTAATTCAGAAATAATTTATAAAAATCAGCATTTGATGAAAAATTTATTTCGAGCATGCGCAGACGTGATTTCCGCTGCCGCTTAAAATCAAATTGTGTATTGAAACGTTAAATTGTAAAATTGTACACGAAAACAATATTTCATTTCAATTCGGAACATTTAACGACGATTTCGTATAACGACCTTTCATACTATATCCTTACAGATTTATTGTGTGTGTAGGTAAGTGTAAACGTCATTTATTTTTTGTTTTTGCCTTTGCCATGTAATTTCGCGATAGTTTTTGTCAGTTTAATTTGCGACATTTTCTAGAATTTACGCCCACTATTAGGCACTTTAGCTGGCCTATGGATGTGTATAGTTGTTATTGTTGAATAACTTAACTGTGACGGAGTCGACACTAACATTTTAATAATATTTTTTCTATCTAGACTAAATTTTAAGAGGTACTTTTTTAAAGGGACACCATCATTTGAAATCCAGTGACCCGTCCTAGCCTTAGAAGTCCCTTCCATTTTGTACCAATATTTCATTCATAAGCATTTTAAAATATTAAATGCAAATACTTATTATTACAAATTCAAGTATTTTTTCCAAGTACCAACCAAGCCCTATGTTGCACAGGCACGAGTATCGGACCTGGGAAGAAAAAATATGACCCGATAGATAATTAAACCTGTGTTCATCTTTAAAAAGTCAAAAACCGAAAAAAATTGTAAATTATACCCCCCTTTAAAAACATACTTTAAGTTAAGAGAAGGCCAGAAACTCCAGATTCGAGCCTGCAAGCAAGGGATTCACTTCCCGGGCCGTTGTGAAAACAATTGTCCAGACAATTAAAAAAATCTTTTACCACTTTCACGTTTGTATTAAGTTTCCAAATGGGACCGACCCCAAGTCTTTAGCCCTTCCCGTTCATGAAATATCTATCGGGGAAACAAACGCATTCGTGCTAAAAATCCTTGGTAGACAAAATTGCGGCACAACAATTCGGTACGTAAACATAGACTAGTACATGTTTGCCAGCCGATTACGGGTCATAATCATATTGTCACTTGGCGCAATAACTCACTTAATGTATATATGTATTTTATTATTACTTATTAATGTATTTTCATTTTATTGTAAATAGGCCATCAAAAAGGCGGTATGAATCGGATAGTGGCACTGATGAGAATGAGACAGACACAGAGAGTAGGCCACCACAAGTTATTGACCAAGCAACAACGCCCAAAGAGTCACAAAGCCTACTTTCATCTCCGGCTTGCTTATCTGCACAGGCATTGCGAGAGGCCAGCAGTGATGTGCAAAGTGCTTCTCCAATACAAGGTGCTTCTGATACACCCTTCCGTGGGCAGATTATTGGGCCCAGTAAGTATAAACTTCGGAGCTATAAATATATTTATTATTACAGTACATACTTATTAAATGTTATATTCTCAAAACAAGTCAATAAATGTTATAACAAGCTGGATTGAGTGACACAGCCAAAAATGGAAAGTTTCACCTTGTGACGCCCCTAGTTAAAAAAATATTCAAAAGAAATTGATGATTACTTGTGTTAGTCTTTATCATGATGTGAATTTGTGCGCATATTCTTGCCTGACCCCACTACTGTTATCCAAAGTTACGGTCCCTGGAAGAGTCAAGAATGTTTATTTTCACCAAATGACATGCCTAGGCTCAAAAATATGTTAAGTTTAATTCATGATTTCTTATCATTTTCACATTTTGTGACCTTGCACACTCAACAATCCTTTTGAGATTTTAGCGTTAATTACTGTTAAAGCCAAGGAAAAATTTAAAATACTGGATTTTTTTCATTTGAGCCGGGTCATGACAAAACCAACATAATGGGTTTGCGACCAGCATGGATCCAGACCAGCCTGCGCAGTCTGATCAGGATCCATGCTGTTCGCTATCAGTTTCTCTACTTGTTATAGGGTTTGTAAGCGAACAGCATGGATCCTGATCAGACTGCATGGATGCGCAGGCTGGTCTGGATCCATGCTGATCGCAAACGCATTATGTTGGTTTTGTCGTGACATGGCTCATTTGTAATTCACATAGCTCTAAAAGTATATGGCCTAGAATTATGAATCCTTTTTTTCAGCTGCTGTTACACAGATTCTCCGAGTCTTGGAGACAATGCGAGAGAAGAATCGTGAAATTAAGAGGATGGTGCAGCGAATGCTGTTAAGGTCAGCAGCAGATGACCAACCGCTGCAACTTCCGAAAGATATCTCATTCCCTATTCGTTATCCTGAGCAGATGGAAGCATTCGATGAGCTTCTGGGAGATCAGACAATGCTCTCATCTGTGGTAAGCGTAGTGTTAGTCATGTATGTTGCTCCATTAGTAACTGAAAAAAGTATACCCCATATCCACTGGCCTAAAAGCGAAATAACATAATGGTCTGTGGTGAGCACTTGATGATAATGTATAATCATTCTGCTATATTTATGTTGGAAAATATTGCACAGTGGACAAACACTTTGCTGCATTAATTTCAGAATTAAAAACTGGCATGTTTTAATTTTTTGATTCATATTGACACAGTTATGTTATTTATATATGCTATAATAGCCATGAGCACAAGACATGGGCAGTTGGCCTCGTTTTCAACATTAATTATTAATTAGGACAAGACAGTCAATTCATTAATCAAAATGCTGGCAGCTTTCAAAATACCAGGAAAATGACTAGTACCCACAAAATCCAGGAATTGAGCTGTTATTATATTATCAAAAATTATTCTGTTGATATTGAATAAACTCTTGTATAAAAAAAACAATGATAATGTGCCCCATAACACTCGGTGGAGGGGACAAACATAAAGGCACAAGTCACTAAGGTGTTGTCCTAGGCTGTAAATATATGAGGAAAGATCTTTTAATTTGTCAATCCAAACAGTTTTCTTGGCAGATCATGTTTTTGAGGTCCAGTTGACAATTATTTGTCATTTGGTGACTTGCAGCCCATCACTTAGTAGTGTTAAAATTAACATTAAAAAAAGTTTATGTTCTGCTTTATTTAAGGTGCGGTTCCTCTCAATGTTTGGTATGGCAGATGTACGGGAAACTGTTGACCGCTTGATGAAAGAAACCATGTCAAATGAACTGGCAAGAATGTACAATATGAAGTGGCTGAAGGGGAAGAAAAAGTTTGTGGGCCTCTAGATACTGAATGTATTGTATAGTAAGTGATTTTTTACAAATTTGCAAAGTGGTGTCTTCAAAATAGATATATTATCCAAGATCTTGTTATTGTGTCTTCGGGTATTGCTTTAATGAAGGAAAATGCTTGACTAGCTTTCATGGAAATTAATAAGAGAGAATATTTTACATGCTGTGTGGTTTTGATCCCATGCATTGTGTTGTGATGCATAATATAAACAGAAATCACCTTCCTGTAAAGCAAGTTATTTGCTTACCTTAACATTCTTTACTGATACACCGATAAGATGATCTCAGCTTACAACTGACTGCAGCGTTATCACAGACATATTGTTAAAAGCTATGTAAAACCAGGAAACAAACATCTATATTTGGTAAAACATACCAGAATTAGTTTATATTCCAATTTATACTGCTCAAAATGCTACAAGGTGGCTTATGACCTTTGAATGGTTTCAATACCTTCATTTCATTCTTTAAGGATAAGAATGCTTGTTTTGTAGAATGTGTCCAAAGGAACTTGCCGACAAAGCCTGCAACGAGGAAGGATGTTGAAATAGAGGTTTCAAAGTGGCTGGCTAGGGCGCGGGACCGCGATGGGGGAAGGAAAGCAAGAAACAAAGTGTCAGAGACCTTACCTGAAGGAAGTGACTCGACATGTTTTTAATTTAAAAATGCAAATTTATAGAGGATATTTGTTTGTTTGTGTGTAAGATGAAATTTTATATCATCAAGAGAGCTTTAAAAACAGTATTCTCATGAGTGGCTATGCGCTCGTGAGAAAACTGTTTTTTAAAGTTCCTTCAATGATATAAAATTACATCTTACACAACAAACAATAAAGTGTCTTTTTATTTTATGCTAATGAAATTTCCTCAATATTAACGTTAGTATTAAATCTGTTTTCACCACTGTTAACATCAATTTTAGTTGAATTTAAGTCCAATTTCTCATAAATACAGGAAGTCTTGGGCTGAAAAATAAGTTTGACAATCAACGTTGAATAGCCATGATATTATTTATTGAATTCAAAAAATTTGAATGATGATAAAATCTTTAAAAAGTAGTCTCGTCATAGAAAAGTTTGAAATTTTAATCATTTCACTGTGAAATTATCAAATATATTTTTCACGGATACATCAGTAATACGCTCAAAAACATAAAATAAATGACTTTTATTTTACATTTTCAAACCTTTACTTAATCTGCATATAAGTTATTCCACTGATTGAAAGTCAATATGTATCAAGGTATTTTTAAAATGTGATAAGGGTCAGAACTACAGTAAGCGGCTCATTTGTTTATCTTGTTATACTTTTTGTTGCTAATTTTAATGTTTGAGGTCATCAGCATAGCATGTCTTTCTTGTAAATGCAAAATTCTTGTCTAGTCAAATTTTGCCTTCTAGTCAGTATATTCTGCTGCTATGTTATGTTTGTTGTTGACATTATATGCTGTTTTTCTGTTGTCTATATGCTGTTGTTTTTTGTTTTTTTCATTAAACATTGTTACTGCACGGAGGAAGGTAGTCTAGTACTGGTGTAACTCTCCAGAAACGATGGATGGTTAGGAAACTACCCGCCTATATGACGTAAAAGGCGTAAAATGAAACAAACAAACAAACAAAAAACATTGTTACTATTTAAATCAAGACATTAAATGCTTGGGGAATGTTTTTGATACTGATCAATACAATTATAACATCTTGTCAAAACTTGACACTAACAGGGAACACATGTATTGATATGGTATTAACCTTTAAAATAAAGTTGAAATACTTTACAATGATGATTCTTGTAATCTTTATTGTTGTTATTGTTGAAACTTTGATAATATCGGAGAAATTACTGAAACCAACTATTTTTACTGACAATTTTTTTAATGAATTTCTTCACAACAAATTTGATCTTTGTGTAATATCACATTTTAATTATTATTGATTTTTACAAACTTGTACAAACTATTTTTTACTTTTCATCAGCTGCATATTTTGTTTACATGTCTATAAACAGTATTTCAATGTGCCAAGATTTTGTGTATTATATTTGTTACTTTTCATTAGCTGCATATTTTGTTTACACGTCTATTAACAGAATTACAACCGTGCCAACCTTTTGTGTATCATATTTGTTACTTTAGCTGCATATTTTGTTAACACGTCTATATAAACAGTATTACAACCGTGCCAACCTTTTTTGTATTACTTTTTGTTACTTTTCATTAGCTGCATATTTTGTTGACAATTACAACAGTGCCAACCTTTTGTGTATTATATTTGTTACTTTTCATTAGCTGCATATTTTGTCCACACGTCTATAAACAGTATTACAACCGTGCCAAGGTTTTGTTAATTATATTAATTTTTTTTCATCAGCTGCATAATATTTTGTTTACACATCTATGAACAGTATTACAACTGTGCCAAGGTTTTGTTTTATTATATTTGTTACTTTTCACGAGCTGCATAACATTTTTTTCTTCAGCACTACCATACCAAAGTGTAATACATGGTTGTAATGAACAACTTTTTATATTAATTGATGTAGATCTATATCATTTGAAAATGAAAGTAATTGGTAGATAGAAATTTGTAATGAATTACAGTAAATGTATAATACTTTTTCTATGAATTATGTAGAAAGTTAAAAAGACATTTGGGGTCATACTGTTGATTCACTGAAATTTAAACATTATACACATATATTTCTTGGAGTTCCAAAGACCTTCTGTAAAGTTTTACCAGTGTCTAGCATAAGTTTCATTTTTCCTTATAGTGATCTGTAAGGTATCTAATGTTATAAAACTGCATTTTTAATTATTTTGTTCGTACATTATAAACAGTTTTCCATTACATGTTGCTTATTTAGTGTACCAAAGTAATATTTACTACATAGGACTTTTTGAATAATAATTAATATTTCTGTATTTTTTAATTAAAAACTATGTAGTCAAAATGAAATCCTGTGGATTTACAAATATGTACAGTTTACTCGGATTTTTATATTGTACACTTTTCTAAGTTTATTTACATAAGTAAAGGTTTCTTTGTTGACATCAGGCATCCACAGAATGTATTGAGAATCTGTATATATATGATATACACTTACCATAAGTGAGATTACTAAATAAAGTTACATTGTTAAAGCATATACATTGTGTATTGTTTTCTTGCATGATCATAAAGGCTTTGTGCCATAATCTGTCTGTTCCAGGAAACAGAATGAGTTAAAAACATCACTTGAATATTTAACGCAAGTACAAGAATCATGCTCTGTAGCAAGCGGTTGCTATCTAAACGTTCAGCAAACTTATAATTGAAGTAATTGAAAATAGATCTACCCCGGAATTCAAAATCTACCCATAATGGAAGTATCTGGGCTGCCCATTTGAAACCCATATTTAGTACAAGGGCTGCCCATATGGGGCCCATGTGGGGCCCATATTGTGTACATGGGCTGCCCAGATGGGGCCCATGTGAATCCCATATTGAGTATAAGGGCTGCCCAGATGGGACCCATGTGGAACCCGGTTGCACTTCCTATATGGGGCCCATATGGGCAGCCCAAATGGGACCCATATAGGTGCCCATATGGGCCCCACATGGGTCCCATATAGAATGCTATCTGGGGAGTGTCGCATGCAAAATTCAGATCCCTGCGACCAAAGTCAAGGTTACACATAGAGGTCAAAGTTCAGATAAAAATTTGAAGATGGTTATAGGGACCATTTAGTCATCATTTATTGATGGATTGTAGCACAAATGGTAACTATCATGACTACAGGTGTTACACATTTAATTTAGGTTAATATTTGCAAGGTCAAGGTCACTGGAGATGATTAAATATCCAGATGTTGTCCGGAGCATATTTTCTACATGCATGGAGGAATTTTAATGTTACTTTTATAGAATTGTTCACCACCATGAGACGTAGTGCCCTGCACATAAACCAAGTCTCTAGGTCAAAGGTGAAGGTCACAGTTAGAGCTCATAGAAAAACACTTGTCTGGAGCAAAACTTCTACATGCATAGAGGGATTTCAATATAATTTGGCACAAATGTTCATCATTGTGAGGCTGAGTGCCGTGCATAAAATTCAGGTCCCTGCGACCAAGGTCAAGGTCACACATTCTGTGCATATCTTCCCTATTGATTTGTTTTAAGGTTCATTTAACAACACAGTGCCAAGAATAAAAACTTGCTTGCTAGATAACACTTACCCATCTCCATCTAAAGCTTTTTCGTAAACGGGCGTATTTTGTGACTATGGCACCCTTGTTTGTATTTTGTGTATGTATTCAATATAGCGCCCGTTCTCTATAAAACAATCATTAATTTTACTCTCATACAACAAAGGTGTTTAAGAAGGTAATTATTCAAGAATCACCTTAGTTTTCTCTCATGCCTTTTCATATTAAGTTTTTTCCCTCCAAGGTTAATTTTTTAAAGTGTTGAAGTGAAGAACTTGAAAATTCATAGATAGATAAATCTCATTAAGAAAACTGCAGTGAACTATAAAAATCATACCCTCTTATAACACATTTTAGACATAAAAGCCCTTTAAAAATGCAATGCTTATTTTTTCGTTTCGAACCTTTGAGGTAAATTGCTGTCTTGTGCACATTTTTAGAGTTATTGCCCATTAGGCTTTATAAATGTCCATATTTCATTTATTGCCGGGACTGTACTCTTACACAATTAAATGTATCTACATGAAACGTTTTTGGTAGTTCTAAATATCTGATTGAGGTACAATGTATATGCAATGTGTAAATTTTGTATTATTCACCTTTGTAACACTTTATACTAAATTTTCATGTAGAGCATACCTTTAAAGGCACATTATGCCTTGGAAATCTGTTTTTATTCAACTCATTAGAAATGTCAAAAATGTGTTTAATAATAGTTTTACAATGGAATTAGAACATGTTAGATGTTTAACAGCTGGGGAAAGTAGCGCTGAATGTGCAGTTATATGTCTTAAAGTTAACAAAATGTAAACAAAAGTAGTAGTTTTCCTTTCATACAAAATTATAATTCACTACAATTAAACCAATTTCCAACAAAGCAGCTCGATCAAAGATGGTTCAATTTCATGACGAATGAGTTTGTTTTTTTGGAAACTGTAACAAGATACTAAACATAAAGTTAAAGAAAAAAAGATTTCTGAGGCATAATAGGCCTTAAAGTCCATATCAAGTTGAACATGAAATATCATATTATCCTTCTCACAAAACGGCTTTCAAAGTCATTGCAACTTATTTGCAAAAGAAGAGAGGCTTTTGTAAAACTATTTAAAGATTTATATTGACATGTAATGATGAAAATTTATAATGATTTTATTTTAATTGATGAAATGTTGGTTAAAGACCAATTATACATCAGAAATGCTATCATTTTATTTCTTATTTTCATCAATCTGATATTTACAACAGATTTGACCTTTTTACAAGTTTTAGAAAATGTTAGAATTACGATATTACTGTTTTATTGTTTTACATATTATTAAGTAAAGGGAGATAAATATGAAAAAGTACATTTTGTTATATATATTATAATAATAATACTGTCAGTACTGATTACAAGTATGATATGTTTACAGAAATCTTACTTTTTATAAATTAATGTTCTATACATGTAGATTATATCATAGTTCATATATTTAATAAAAATAAAATTATGAAACAACATTGATGTTTTAGTTATCATATATACAAATGCACGTAAATCAATTTCGTTGAAAGGTAAACTTGGGGTATGTAGCTGTACACAATTATCCTGGATGTTGTGTCCCATTGGGGAAATACTCATTATGTAGCACCAGTACTGGTTTAGTCCAGGAATACATAGTACACACATGATTGATTCTCAATCTAAACAAGTTCGAGTGGTCGTATTGTACAGATGCAAATTGTTGTAAAGCAATAATTAAGGTGGCTTTATTATGAAGGTACAATATATGAACCAGAGTGACAAGGATAGAAACCTTTTGATTGATGTTGTCTAAAAAAAAAAAAATCACAAAATTACTTAGATACACAAATCAAATGCTGGCCACTTGACACTTCTAGTTATAACAAAACCTAGCCGCATTATAAAATAGAGAAGTAGGATGGAAACAATTATTGCTATATATGCATACTCCATAACTAATCAAGGTCCATATAACTAATCAAGGGCCATAACTTTGTATTGAAGGGTCTGACCGGAACAAGGCGACGATATGCCCATCTCCTCTTAGTTTTGATGTTTCTCATAAAGTTTCGTTGAATTACAGCCAGTAATTGCAGAGAACTAGCGCTAAACAAAATTCGGACGGACAGATGGAAAGCACCTATATACAAGAACCAAACCTAACAATCTCAGACCTAATAGTGAAAGTACCAAACAATTTTTACAATAGATAAAAGTGTTTCTGTCGTAATATCCTGGAAACAGTATACTATCCCCAAGAAAGAACGAGATATTTATATAAATTTATTTATATATTTGGAATGAGTTTTTCCTCTGTAAATGGCTAGAGTGAATCCATTTTATGCCATCACGAGTTATTCCCCTTTATAACTTGATATTAACATATATGTTCTGCTCAAAATAAAAATATATATGCTTAAAGCAGAACGCCTCCAGATTCAAGCTAATTTTCATGAAAATTTGAAAATGTATTTAACAGTATAATATTGTTAAGTGAACCAAAAGAATGCAATTTACACATTATCAGTGGCACTTACAACCCATTTAAATTGCTATAAAGAGGTCAAATTATGCAAAAATATACCTTACTGCATTAGTATCGCAGTAGAAATTTAGTTATAAATATTGAAAAATCGGTCATTAATTGCTATTAACATGTAAATTATTCTAGAATTTTGAATCTTTATACATTTCCTAAAATCTTAGTACATTTTTCTCAGGTTTGATTTTATCGAAATATTTTTGCTCATCTGGAGGCGTGCAGCTTTAATATACAAAGTGTTCTAAACATAAAGAATATTTCTAATGATTACAAGATAATGCAATGATGTGGCTGACTTTGTAATATATCTCGGACAGGTTTAGAGTCCGTTTAAATCACTAAATGAACTAACCAAACTGACTTAAATTAAATTGTTGCTTATTTCCGAGACATATTTATAATTGATTCAGGCTTATTATTTATACACGGTAATTTACAAGTTGTACATAAAGTGTAGACATGTCAATGATTAATTTCATTTATTCCCCCAAAGTTTTGATACTAATGTCAGTAATCAGTTTTATGTAGCTCAATGTTGTCAAACATTCTTAAAGGGACTCCACTGAGGTTTTTTGACATGACGGGACTGGAAAGTTTTGTTTTTTTAGATTATTACTCCATTTGATGAAGATCTATACTAATAACTTATTTTAGATCATTAGCTCGCTCTGTTTTTCCAAAATAATTATTATAATAGCGAAAAATGACCCAAAATTAATTTAAACGCTTTTCACTCAAATCTTACTGAGAATAGCACAAACTATTTTCAATGTATTTCTTGTTTATTTCTTAGTTATATTTTATTTATATTTCTGTTTAAAGTGCTCATGTTTATCTATGTGAAAAAATAAAATGTTATGCGTTAGGCTTATAAACCTCAATGGAGTTCCTTTAACAGATAAAAGTTGTATATCATCACTTTAAAACTAAGATTATCATACATCCAAACTGCTGAAAGTTTTCACAAGACTTGAATGGAAGTAACTATAATAGGCCTATAACTTCAGAAAAGAAGTCATGCATTCTTATTTAATAAATTTGATGCATTAAAAGTATTTATTCAATTTATTTTATTATTAGCATATTTAAAATTTTGATATGGCCTAGTGACTAGTTATATCAGCTGACAACCACTAATCTTAAAATATAAACTGTAAATCTGCATCGATATGCTAAGAAACAGAATAAATACAAATGATGAAACCTTTGGAAAGGTATTGTCTTAAATTCTTAAATGTTTGATTATCTAAACCTCGACAAGCAAGGTCAATTAAAGGCCTAGGTCATATCAGAATAACTGAAAACTGTCGGTTTTGTCTTGTGTGTTCTTTTGTCCAAGTATGAATAACATCTGTGAATAATTTATGTTACACAAGTTATCACAAATCAAACTTTTAGGAGATGCATAAATAAATTGCTAATAACAACAAAAGACAGACGCATTGCAATGACAAAAGCTTACCTCTCAAAACTAAGTGCTCAAGTCAGCAAAAATAATCAAGCCTTGACATCGTTGTTAGCATTTATTTTTCTTTATTTTCTTTACAATTTAAAAGAAAAAAATCTTTCAGTTTGCTTGTTTGTACATTTAGCACAAGTCTAACTGCTACATATAATAAATTATAATTTAGTTTCCTCCTTCATTATCTTTCACTATTACAACTACAAATATACAAGTATATGTATAAAACAATCATTCACAAGTACACTTACCCTAGTACACACTAAATTCACGTTTTAAGTTTTTATATCATAACGTTGCATGTATTTGTCACGGTTCAGAACTGTTCACTATTTCGGGGAGAAGATGTGTAAGCGGCCAGATAGCTCAGTCAGTAGAGCCGCAGAACGGTGTTCCGAAGGTCCCGGGTTCGAGTCCCGGTCAGCCTGCACATTTTTCTCACCCTGTGACATATTTATTCAAGAAAATGCATAGTATAAAAATAAAAACATTTAACTTTTACGTCATATACTTCTTTAAAAATACCATATGAAATAAAACAAAATGTACAGTTCTGACTGATCTATGAAATACATTATGGTAAGATCATTCTAGTATCAAGGTACTTATGGCATTACTTTTGTTATAGAGGCAAAACCCTCTTCTTGTTTGTAATAGAGATGTGTAGATCATCATGCATCAGTTATCAAAGAACAGTAAAGTGTTTCTTTTTTTTTCAAAAAATGGGGGAATAACAAAATTTTCTTTTTTTAAATAAAAGACATCAGGCACTATTTTCATTTGCTTTGTGTATAAAAATATAAGACGAAGAGGTCACTCTAGACATGCAGAACTCATTGTGAAGTCTAACATTAATAAGAGTTGATGATGTATAGGTATATTGACAAAAGGTCAAAAGGTCACTTGGCAGGTTCTCATAGTTGTTTTTCAATACTTTGACTACACATACAAAATAAATAAAAAAGTAATATATATATATATATATATATACATGCTGGCATAACTACAAAAAGAGCATTTCACTAACAAACCTTAGAGTATATGACTAAACAAAAAACAAAACAACTGCTTCCAAAAAAACAAATAATACAGTAAAATCAGAAAACAAGAGGGCCATGATGGCCATTAGATCGCTCACCTGTATTTTGTTATTGATCAAACATGGTTAGACACCCATTAGAAAATGTTTAATATCGAAGCTCTTGCTATTTTGGTTTTATAAAAGAAGATTTTTTTAAGTTTTTACTATATACAAATAAGGAAAATCTATGACGCCCCCCCCCCCCCCCCCCCCTGCATGGAATTAAATTCTTTGAACAATTTTTAAAGTTCACTACCAAAGAAACATTCCTGAAGTTTAGATGAAATTGGCTAAGTGGTTTATGAGGAGATGTTGTTCAAAGTAAAAGTTTACGGACACCAGACAAAAAGTGATCACAAAAGCTCACCATGTCACTTTGTGACAGCTGAGCTAAAAATGTGAATCAACAAGATCCAATCTTTTTACAAATACCACCTTTTAGTCTTTTCGGACGATTTTTTGGCCACATTTAAACCTAATTCATCAATAACTGCTACCTGAACCACGGGTTTTAGCACATCTATAGTAGTCAGAGGGGAAGCACCTTTGTTTTTTTTTAATCATATTCTTCTGTTTATAAATGTTTCTAATAATTTCCCAGATAAGTCAAATATTAGTTTCTTGAACACACGTCTACTGTTACTTATCAAATCTGAGCCAATCTCTTCATGTGTATAAAATGCTTCTGAAGGGTGGAGATCGGTAAATGGCTCGCCAAACTGTCTTTGTTCCTAGAATTCATCTATGGCACTGGAAACTATAGAGACTATTTCTTGCTCCTCATGGGGCACAGCATAAAAAACCTCTGCAAACTTCTTCAGATCAGATCTTAGAACATTTATTTGATCTAAAAGATTAAAAGCAATGAAATTAAAAGAAATGTAGGAAACAAGAGCTGTCAATGAAAAGTGACCCATGCCTACAAAAGGAAGTTGTGACAATTGTGTTAAAAAATTAAAGTAGAAAATCAAACTATGCACAACTAGGCATGGTGACAAACAATCCTGCAAAGTTTCACTGAAATCCACCCAGCGGTTTTGGTGAGAAAAGCGCGGATAAGTTTATTTTACTTGAAAATTGACCATTAGGGGGCCACAACTGTACAAAAACTAGAAATGTGTCATCATGCCACGGATGCCCCCGCATGCAGCCAAAATTTCAGATGTTATTATATTTAGTTCCAAATTTGTTTGCACAAATTATTTTTTTCATTTTAAGTTCAAAGCCCTTAAAACGTTTTAATGTTAACACAAACCATTTTCATACAATGTTCAAGGCACTGAAATTATTCAGTCTTAACCGTTTGAAAATAGCATATTTCATATTTGTAGCCAAAATAATGGCTACATACATTTCCACAAAAGTATGAGAGCTGAAACTGAAAGTTCAAAATTTTTCCAACATTCAAGAAAGATAAGTTTGTCCAAAATCATTGAACCACGACCAAATTCAAACTTAAACTGCTTATTCCTAAGATGTATCTATATTATTTTCAAAGTGAAAGGGACATAACTCTGCCAAAAAATCATCAACCATGACCAAATTCCAACTTGACCTGCCCATTCCTTTGACATAACCATATGTCAAATTTGAGTTGAATATGTAACACTGTTAGGTAGATAATGAACAGAAACTGAAAATTTCATATTATTTTCAAAGTGAAAGGGGCATAACTCTGCCAAAAATCATCGAACCATGACCAAATTCGAACTTGACCTGTATTTTCTTATGACATATCCATATGTCAAGTTTGAGTTGAATGTGTTGTACCGCTGGGGAGATAATGAACGGAAACTGAAAATTTCATATAATTTTAAAGTAAAAGGGGCATAACTCTGCCAAAAATCATCGTATCATAACCAAATTCAAACTTGACCTGTATTTTTTCATGACATATCCATATGTCACATTTGAGTTGAATGTGTGCAACCGTTACTAAGATAATGAACGGAAACTGATGATGACGGAATGACAGAATGACGGAATAGGGTAACACTATATGCCCCGGCCATTACATGGCGGGGGCATAAAAATCAAGCAGAAAAATAAAGAGAGTATGCACAACTAAGCTTGGTAACAAACAATCCTGTGAAGTTTCACTGAAATTCCCCAAAACTTGACCTAATAAAATACAAAATTTCAAAACTTGACCTAATAAAATACAAAATTTCAAAACTTGACCTAATAAAATAGTCGGCAATACCACAGTAATAAACATGTACTACCATAGTCTGTTAGATTCCACTGGCCCAATTTTTTCTATTTCTGCTTTAAAATTTCAAAAAATGTGATTAAATGGTATGTTCTCATAAAGCAGGCTAAATTTAAATTGTAACAACAAATTTCAATATCAATAAAACTGTTATTCTACAATAATTTTATTGTTTTTATGAATAAAAGTCTTGGTCATGTATGACCATGATATTGCTCAAGTGATAAATAAAACGTCTGGGCATTCTTTCAGATCAAGCTGGGCACTTGTGTGCAACCACTGACCCAACTTAAGCTACAGTAGCTAAATAGCTTTCCAACATGAAAGGGCTATAAGGTCTTGTTCGGATTTGAACCATTGCAGTAAGATGATTCAAAGTTAGTGACCGCAACTGTTTGACCACAGAGGCCTCTTCTAAATTTCAGCCATTTCATGTAGTTGTAGTGGATAAATTGGTTACAATATTTTGCTGATAGCATTTAAAAGTTCTAAGCATAAAATACTTCATCAAAGATCTTAAGTTATAATAATTAAGCTACTAGTATTAGGTTTGGAATGAATAAAAACTGTATATACCATATACACTTGGGAGAGCAAGGGCCGCCCCTGCCGCACTGATGGTATATTATCTTGTAGATTGTTGAAAAATAGTGGATACAATGCTGGTATAGATGACCTGAAAAATACAGTTGATCTATGTTGGATTTTATATTTAGAAAATATCAATTATGATTGTATTGTTGCATAAAAATGCAGCGTAGAGTTCAAATACGCAGGAATACAATCACAAAGGCCGGAAAACCTTTGTGATTAATTACAAAGCATTTGAACAATAAACAGTGCATTATTATATTTATCACATAGCTGTGCTGCTTTTGCGATTCTGTAAATATGGTAATGCACAGGCCGTGTATATATTTTAATGTGTTATCATTTGCGTTATACAATCATAGCTAAAAAAGATGCAAGAAATGTCAGTGTTACACTTTAAAAATGAAAGTGTTTTCTTTTCACTGTTAACATTTCTTATTTTGGATATGTGATAAAAAGAATATAAGATTTGTGTAGCTTCATTACTAAGATAAATGAACAAGTAAAAACCAGAATAAAATAATTTGAGCCGTGTCATGACAAAACCAATAGAGTTTTAGGAGAGGTATAATTCTGTGAGAAAAAAGAGCTGTCGGTAGGACAGCACGCTCGACTATTCTAAGTGCTTGATAGTAAAAGAGCCTTGATAACGTAAAATTTAGAGCTTTGATAATGTTAAATTTTCTAAGTTCACAAAAGGGCTAATTTTTTTTTATAAATTCATGTTATAGGGCTTAGAGACAGTCTAATTATACAGTATTGGCTTGACTATTCTGAAGGTAATGTCACAAGGGTGTTTTATTGAGTATAATAATACTAATTACCTATGAATACATAAAATTGACAGAAAAGGTACAAAGGCTTGTAATTAAGATGTTTTATCAAGTAAATCACTGCTTTATTATTATGAATGCATATAATTGTCCCAAAAAAGGCACAAACCCTCAGTAATTATAGAGATAACAGCTTACAAGCAGAACTTTACCATGAATTTCTAAGTTGAAAAATGGGAGGAAAATCAGCCTAAATGCAAGATAGAATTATAGATCTTTGTCAGTGACCTACAATTATGACCCTAAATGCATATGTGAAGTTTTAAATAAATATCTTGAATAGTTATTGAGATATGTAAAACTTGCATGTAAACATTAACCAAGAGACTAAGTAGAAAAGGGGATATGAATCAGCCTTAATGCAGGATAGTTATGGAACTTGGTCAGTGACATACAATTATGACCCTCAAATTATGACCCTAAGTACATGTGTAAAGTTTCAAGTAAATATCTTTGAAGACCTTTAACCTTTAACCAAAATTTTCTAAGTTTCAAATTTAAGGGGCAAATAGTTCTGCAAATATTGCAGGCAGAGTTATGCAATTTTGCAAACTGATGTACATTGTTACTATAAAAAAGTATTTTAAATTTCAATTGAATATCTCAAGCAATAATTGAGATATTTGATTTTACAAAAAAACTTTAACCAAAATTTCTAAGTTCAAAAGGGGCATAATTCTGTCAATATTGTAGGCAGAGTTATCCAACTTGTCAATCTGATGTACCTTGTTACTATAAATAAGTATTGTAAGTTTCAATTGAATATCTTAAGAAATAATTGAGATATTTGACTTTACAAAAAACTTTAACCAAAATTTCTAAGTTAAAAAGGGGTATAATTCTGTCAATATTGTAGGCAGAGTTATCCAACTTGTCAATCTGATGTACCTTGTTACTATAAATAAGTATTGTAAGTTACAATTGAATATCTCAAGCAATAATTGAGATATTTGACTTTACAAAAAACTTTAACCAACGCAGACGCCGACGAGGACGCTGACGCCGACGCGACTACAATAGCTCTCATATTCTTCAATAGTCGAGCTAAAAATGTCCTGCAAGACTTATTGGTCTAGGAAATTATATGCAATTATTACCCTAAAATAAGTGTCAAGTTCATGCAAATACCCACAGGAAAATTCTTTGCAAGGACTCTGATTATTCATAACTTAGGTATGTTTTAGACATTTTACCATCTCTAACTGTCCAGCTGTCATCACTAAAACGAATTAGAAGAGCCTCTAACAACCTTGGAATATACATGTCCACAACATCTTTGTTCACCTATAAATACAAATATATATGTAGGTAAATTTTTCAACATAACTTTTCAACATAAGTTTATTTGAAAAACAATTATAATGTAACAATGATATTTGTTATCATATGTTTGGAGTTAATTTAAGTAGCAATTTCACCACATTAAATTATTTATTACCAGAACAGACCTTCATATATGTCGAGCAGGTTATAATTGGTCAGATTGCACAGATAAACTGACTGGCAAAATATTACTATGTTCACACTGTGAACTTGTGATCCAATTAAACTCTGTCACTCAAATTGTTATCACTTAACAGTGGATGTTACTTCTAACTATAGATGACAACAAGTACTGATTTCAGTACTCAAATACTTTTTTCATTTTTACGACGGAGTACTCAGTCACACGAAATATTTCGTTTATAACCATACCCTATCTTCAGATTCTGTCAATTCCTTAATAAGGTCTAAGACAGATAAAGCCATATGTCAATGGACTTGGAAAATATTTGAACTATTACAAAAACTTTAACGTAAATTCTAAGTCGAAAAAGGGGCATAATTCTGTCAAAATGCTTGATAGAGTTACCTCCTCCTGTCTACAGATTGGGGTCATGATGGTGAACAAGGGTGCAAAGTTTCAAAGCCATATGTCAATGGACTTTGAAAATATTTGAACTATTACAAAAACTTTAACATAAGTGGTTACGCCGACGCCGACGCTCGGGTAACTGCAATAGCTCTACTTATTCTTATCGAATAGTCGAGCTAAAAATTGTGTTTGGCCTCATTTTTCAAAATGGCCCACACTAATTTTGCAGTCATTGCTGTTTCACCTTCCTTTTTATGTATCCTGTTTTCTCGTATTCTCGGGGGGTTAAGGACTAAACTTGGTTGCATAATATTTAAAAAAACATTTTGTTACAGTATTTTTAGCCTGATACACAGAGAAATACCTTATAAACAAAATATAAAGAAAGAAAGATCGTAACTGTAAGCAAAACTAAAGATATTTCTGCTTGTATATACTGACCTTCACCCTCTATGTGAAGCAGGTGCTTTCTCGTATTCTCGTGGAATTTGATTGGTTGTTAAGGCTGGTCGCTATGTGATGATTTTATTCTACATACCAGTTCAAATCATTAGTGCCACACCTAATTAAGTGTTAGATGGCCTATATCTGTAATTTTATTGTGTTTTGATAACAGCTTGGCAGGCCATATCAAACTTTTAGGATCATATTGACGCCAGTCTTTGGTACCAAATGATTCTGATTGTTCCAAAAATAGTTTGAACTCAATTTAGTGTTGTTATTTACATATTCTCTCTAATAAATATTAAGTTTACGTTTATTTATTAGTTACTTAAATTATTAGTTATATGAGCATTAAACAATAATTACTACTGTTTTCCATTGCAGTTGTCAAAAATGAAATGTGTTTAGGACAAACAATGTTTCATTATTGGTTTTTAATTGGAGTTCATATCTTTTTTATATTATCTATTCGTGGAACAAATATTTTGAGCTGTATTGTATGAATAGTAGTGTGAGACCGTCATTTGATGCGTCTTGCGTCAGAGACCCGCTGCAGGTTTCTGCAACATGGAAAAATCTAGAAAATTGATGATTTTTGGGAGGAAATTGATAAATTTAATATTTATTCTCTGGATTTTACTATGATTTCCACAGTTATTTTGGTTTTTTATCTGTTTTTGTTGCATTTCTTTTATTTTTTTTAATTGAGATGAAAATGCTCTGCTAAATAGACATGTTTTCGGATATCGACGGAAGTCGCGAGCGTCGCTTCCACCCGTTTTAATTATTCCACGAGAATACAAGAAACCCCGAGAATACGAGAAACAGGGATATTGGCTGAATAGTACTCACTGCAATAGGTCCATCTACCGTTATAACATGAAATCATTTTTTCTACAAACACTAACAGTTGTTTCCGACACACACACACACAATTCTAACGAATACCAGAACTTTTTTTATTTAGAAATAATGTTATTATTTTTCATGTTATGCAAAATGGATACTGTCTACCCGACATTGTGTTTTAAGACACAGCTTTACTGCTGGAAGAATTCCTCAAGTGCCCAATTGTGCAATTATTTCAGGCATGAGTTGGCCATGAGACGGCCACTTGATATAACGTACATTCAGTCAGGATTTGAGCCTAAACTGGTATAAGTCAAGTGATATGAAGAGATTAAATCAGAGAGTGATATTTACCTCCAAATTCTGCAATACAAGCACAGGCAGCTACTCTCACAGCATGGTTGTCTGCCCATGTCGCTTCTATATACATGTATTAGTCAACCTTTATAGTTAAAGTAAATTGACTGAAAGGTAGATAAACAAAAAACAATACATCAACAGTGGTCATGCTTGTTTAACAGACTCCAATAAAAGGCCTCTTCCCAATTGGAATTTTCTTAAAATCATGCAGTTTTTCCAAAAATCTGAACTTAAACTTCTTTTTTGCTTCCCAAATTAGCAATTTTAGTGATAATTTTTCCCAATATCAAGAGGTTCAGAAAAGTACATACTACATTGTATAGCGATGATACATCATGAAAATTGTAAAGATTGAACAATATACATTTTTATTTCAGATTTTATATATATTTCTAATATCATTGACAGTGTGCTTGGGACATGAGAGATGTTTAACTTTCTATTATCTCCCATGGATAGATTTACCTGTAATACATTCAAATCTGCAATTTTTAACTTTTGTTTCTGTTGTACCCGAGGGATATCTCCCTTCCAAAAATTATTTTTAATAAAGGAGTAAATGGAGTGACATATGCAATAATGGACAAATATGTTGTGAGACAGGAAATGCAATTATCCATTCTAGTTCTAAATTTGTAATGTAAATTTATCCACTTGGAATCTTGAGCTGCCCATCCTTAATTTCATGTATACTGTATTATTTTGCAACATGGAAATACAGTTGACTCTCAATAAGTCAAAATCGCTTTACTCAAAATTCCGCCTTAAAGTCGAATAATTTCTAAAGTCCCGTCAAATTTCCTTCTTTATCTTTGTATTTTAACTCCGCTTAGGTCAAATTTTGACTTACCGAGACTCCTGTTTAGTCGAAAAGAAAATTTGGTCCCGTCAATTAAAGTCCACATATTTTCATCTCAATTAGTCGAAAGTGTCGAACAGCCGACTGATCAAAGATCGGCCACATCAAGATGAGATGTTGTCACTCGTGATTTACATGTTTCATAGTAATTTTTAATTGCCGGTCATCATGTATTATTAACACGTCGTAAAAGTGTCTTTAATCCGTTTCACGACTTAATTGGTTTTAACAGTTAGATAACTAAATTAAAATTTAATTACATTTCTTTAAAAAAGTTTACTCGTGCCATTCTGACGGGTGTTAGTCAAATAACAGCCTAGTCAACTAACAGCCTAGGTATTGATGTGTATTATCAACGTAAATGATATTTGTATAATTAATGTTCCGTCATATTGCATACATTAATTTGTACTTCCGGTTCACGATAGTTGCTAATTTCGTTTTCGTCCGATGATCAATTAAATCAAATATAATTATGTGTTTATGTTTCACTATTAATATACATGTATTAAATTTTGAATGATATATTTTTGTTCATTTATAATTTGTAGTTGAAAGTGATTTACCGTCATTTCAATGGTTAAATATTGCAGCATTGCCGCTAACAACAATAAGAAACCTACTTCTTTGCACATTCAATCAGGTACATGTATATACATGTACGAAGTCAACGTAATGGCGGTAGTTCCACGTTACTCGAATTCCGTTTCTCTCGAAGTAAAATACCTAGTCCCTTGGATTTCGAGTTACCGAGAGTCAACTGTATATGCGATTTTGTAATCAAAAAATAATTCGAAATTAAACGAGCCTGTAAAAGTAACATTAACTTTAGTAAAGTCCTCGATGGCCATTTTGATTCATTATTTTACCATTACACCGGTGCACAGATTACTCTGTAAATATATCATGTTAAAAATAACATCTTGTTATATACAAGCAAACATATAACATGATTTAATGTTCATTTAATATTTCATACAAAGAAATAATAATGAAAAAGGTTCATAATGTATTGTCGAACAGAACATTTACTAATATTACCAGAGTTCTGGAAATAATACTTTCGCAAATATTTCCGCATGCAAAAAGTCTGTTTTCTTACATTCAAAAACATTTTGTGATGTAAGAATATTCACTTATAAAGAATACATTGACAGAAGCTAAGAATATGAAAAAAATCTTCATTGTTTCACCAATTTTATAACGAAAATTTTAAAGAGTAATAAAACTCTGATCTTCAAAAAATCCTGACAACTTTTACCCATGCATAGTAATATTAAATGCACCATGGGTACGAACATTGTCACTTAATATGCCTGTCACAAATGTGGGCAATAAGAAGAGTGGCAAGCAAGTTGGTCCCTATAAATAATTTGTATTTTCATCTGAAATTTTATCTCATATGTATTATGTGTGACCTTGAACTTGATTGCAGGGACCAGAATTTTTTCCACAACACTCAGCCTCACAATGATAAAAATCTGTGCCAAATCATAATATTAAAATCACTCAATGCATGTAGATTTGTTTAGGTTTTTTTTTCAAACAAGAGCTGTCGGTAGGACAGCAACGCTCGACTTTTCTTAGTGCTTGATAGTAAAAAAAGCCTTGATAATGTAAAATATTCTAAGTTAACAAAAGGGCAATAATTTTTTCTTTAAATCCATGTTACAGTTATAGGCCTTGAAGAGAGTCCTATTATGCTCTCAATGATGAGTATAAAATTTCAACTTCTTTCAAAGCCATATGTCAATAGAATGAAATTATCTGAGGTGGTTTGCAAACTAACGTAAATTTTAAGTGGAAAAAAGGGCATTATTTTGCCAAAATGATTGATACAGTTACCTCCTCCTGTCTACAGATTGGGGTCATGATGATGAATAAGTGTGCAAAGCTTCAAAGCCATATATCAATGGACTTTGAAAATATTTGAGGTATTACAAAAACTTTCACGTAAATTCTAAGATGATAAAAGGGCATTTTTTTTGTCAAAATTATTGATACAGTTACCTCCTTCTGTCTACAGGTTGGGGTCATGATGGTGAACAAGTGTGCAAAGTTTCAAAGCCATATGTAAATGGACTTTGAAAATATTTGAGGTATTACAAAAACTTTCACGTAAATTTTAAGTCGAAAAAGGGGCATAATTCTGTCAAAATACTTGATACAGTTTCCTCCTCCTGTCTACAGGTTGGGGTAATGATGGTGAACAAGTGTGCAAAGTTTCAAAGCCATATGTCAATGGACTTTGAAAATATTTGAAGTATTACAAAAACTTTAACATAAGTGGTTACGCAGACGCCGACGCTCAATTGACTACAATAGCTCTACTTATCCTTATCGAATAGTCGAGTTAAAAAATCAAAATGTGACCTTTGACCTCTATGTGTGAACTTTATTTTAGGGACTTGACTTTTTTTTTGCGCAACACTACACCTTACAATGGTGCACATTTGTGCCAAGTTATGTTAAAAAACTCCCTATGAAACTAAAAGTTTTCTCCACACAAGTGTTTTTAAATTAGCTCTAAGTGTGGTCTTGATCTTTGACCTAGTGACCTTGATCATGTATTGAAGCAAGTCGACTCCTGGTGGTGAACATTTTTATAAAGTAAGTTAGAGATATGCTCCAGACAGAATCTGGAAATTTTATCATCTTAAGTGACCTTGACCTTCCATAAATTGACTTAAAGTACATGTATCACAGCTGTAGGCATGATAATGACTATTTGTGTAACAATCCCTCAATAAAAGATGTCAAAATGGTCCAAATACACATCATCATATTTTTATCTGAACTCTGACCTCTATGTGTGACCTTGATATGGCCGCAGGGACAAGAATTTTTGGTGCGACACTATGCCTCATAATGGTAAAAATTTATGCCAAGTTATATTGAATCCCTAAATGCATGCAGAAGTTTTTTGCGGACAAGCATTTTCCAATGACCTCTAAGTGTGACCTTGACCTAGAGAATTGGTTCATGTGTGTGACATGGGTTCTTATAGTGGTAAACATTTAAATGAAGTTTCATTAAAGTCTCCCTATTTGTGAAGAGATATGCTCCAGACAAAAGTGGATGCCACCCGCACTCCATCCCCATACCCGCCAGGCGTTCCTATATTATGTCCCATTTATTAAACGGATGTATAAAATTCAGAAATAGTGTCTAGTTAAACAGCAAGAAAGAGCAGATTGAGTGTGACTTACCACTTGTCCGATGTACCAGTTGTTTCCCCTGCTCTCCCATCACTTATTTCCATGTGTCCTGTGAGTAAATACGGAGACCTACGTAATATCTGAAACAAATACACATTTTATGATTTAAGATCATATCATTTCAGACATTTCTACTGTCAAATGGTAGCATTTTTGTTTCTTGATGTGCAATAAAAATTTCAAAATATTCATTCAATAATTATTTATTCACAAATTGTTGTTAACTGAGCGTTTATGCATTTTTCTGACATACAAAGAAACAAACATATTGTCATAAAACAACAATGGCCTATAAATCTACTGAATGTAAGAAAGTTGCTTAAAACAATTTCCTGAAATAGGACATAATCATTGTTATACAAGAAGCGCCGCAATGCGACGAAAACCAGGTTTTCAACGACCAAGACTTTTGATGGGACAGCAATCAATAAAGCACTGATGTAGAAGCTGTAAATTCTATTGTAAGCAAATGACCTTGACTTTGCTCCCAGATATCTTAGTGGCAATCTTAAGCTGCCACACATCAAGTTTAGTGTCAAAATGTCAAAGCAAACTCAAGTTATTACATGAAAACTGAATACATTAACTTTGATCGCAGACACCTGGGTAGAAATCCAAAGCTGCCTCTTGATATAAGCTACCCATTCATCAAGTTTGGTGTCAATTTGCCAAAGCAAACTCAAGTTATTGAGCGGAAACTGAATTTCTATTTTTAGAACCAGTGACATTGACCTAAACAACTGACACCTGGGTAGCAATCCCACACTACATCTTGATATAAGCTACCTTCACACCAAGTTTGGTGTCAATAGGCCAAAGCAAACTCTAGTTATTGAGCGGAAACTGAATTTCTATTTTTAGTACGGTAACTTTGACTTTAATCATAGACACCTAGGTAGCAATCCCAATCTGCCTCTTGATAATTATAAGCTATCCATACACCAAGTTTGGTGTCAAAAGGCCAAAGAAAACTAAAGCTATTGAGCGGAAACTATAAGTTGACGCCCTCCCGCCTGCCCGCCAACTTCGGCATTACAATTACCCGGTTTTCATTGAAAATCTGGTTAAAAATGTAGCCCTTTTATGTTTATAAAGTTTTAAACATGATAAAAATGTGGTTATTAACATAGTAAATTCAATCATATCATGTTAATTCATACGCACCATGTGAAGATTCATACATTTTTAAATTGTTTAATTCATTTTTAATCCTTTTCAACTTTGTTATCTCACCCTAAAGTTTATAACTGTTGCGTCAATTTGAGGATAGAGTTTTGTGACCCTGGCATATATTACAGTATCATACAAGTAGTTGCACATGGACTTTCAATTTATTTTCCAAATTTATCTTAACACAATATAAATAGAAATCACCAATACCTCCTAAGACACATCCTAGGTAATAAAAGGGGGAAAAACTGGTGGCCTCGTTTGATCTGATGGTAAAAAAAAACTCTGAAGGTACTTCCTGGTTGCCAGATGACGCAAGTCTTACCTAGTCAATAAAAAAAAATCGAAATCATTTCCATGCCAAATGATGTGTAACCCTTTTCGTAATAGTTTATCACAGGGACTTGCCCTTCTTGTAAATTGGAACTATCTAGTACACAATAAACAATTTTCCTGTCATGCAGGAATGTGAAAGTAAAGCAGAAAATGAGCAAATGTAAAGCCAAATTGTGAAAGTATGTGGATGAGGCAACATGGTAAGGAAACATACAATATATTTTATAGTATATATTTCAACTTTACTTTTGCACCATTGTTGCATTATTATACACAGAGTGGTATAACTGTAAAGATCTAGAAATCATAGAAATAATAAATTGAGCATCTAACTGTAAGGACTTTGATCATAATGCAATGATGTACAGGCTAGCCTAGATCTATGTTAGCAATGTAAACTAACTAAGTCAATGTGAGCATACAAAGCATCAACACTCATCATGTTCTTTAACCAACATGTATGTTATATGCTGCAAAAGATGCTTCAATATAAAAAAATGTGCATGTCAAGTTTTTTCTATAATCGAGAGACTGGAAAATGTAATTTCAAAATGTAATCTGGTATCTTTATCGGAATCCCCCCTCCCGCACCCACCCCCTCTTAGTTGCGCTTAAATTTATTTCTGGGGAAGGCCCTGTTTGTGCATAGGTCATAATCAAAATGCTTGTTTGCTCTAGCAATGAGTCAAAACAAAAATTTAGCAGATGCTATTCTTTCCATGTCTCACTTTCAAAGGTCATCATTTGTAATGAAATAATTTGTAAAGACTAAATTTAAGTATGATGCAATTTGCATATATACATAGCATACCTGGCTTCAATTATCTGCCAGTCCTCTACCAAGATAATCTACAAACTGATGCCCATACCTCATATAGCATTATCTTCATCCAGCAGGGGCAAATCTGAGCCTGTCCAACAAATAGATAACATTATATTATAACAAGAGCTGTCACAGGAGACAGCGAAGCTCAACTAATAAAATACTGGACGCAGTAAGGAAGACAAAACTATGAAAAAATCAATTATGTATAATTATGTATTAAGTTTTAGTAAAAAAATAACATTTGTTAACATAAATTCCAAGTTCAAGGGGGAAAAATTATGGAAATAGAGTTATGAACCTTGTCACACAACATGTGTGTGATGATAAGAAATATATATTTGAAGTTAAAAATAGATACCTTAAAAAGTAAAGAAGTTATAATATTTCTTTAAAAAAAATCCAAAGTAAAAGTGGAGATAAATCTGAAAATATTGCTTGAAATGTTATGATCCTTATCACATAAGATGTAATTGATTATAAGGAATATGCAATTGAAGTTTGAGGTAGATACCGTTAAAACTAAAGAAGTTATAGAAAAATAACATTTTTCAAGTAAAAAAAAGTTCATGGGGAGATAATTCTTGCAATATTGATGTCAGAGTTATGAGCCTTGCCATGTTACATGTGCTTAATGATAAGGAACATATATTTGAAGTATGAAGTTGATCCCTTAAAGAAATAATTATGTTGCAGTAAAAATAATATTTTTAAAGGAAAATTCTAAGTTCAAGGGGAGATAAATTGGTAAGAATATTGGTGCTAGAGTACTATTTTGTACCTTATCACAGTAAGATGTGGTTGATGATAAGGAACGTATATTTTGAAGTATGGAGTTGATACCTTAAGGAAATGAAAAAAGTTTATAGTGAAAAAATATTTTTAAAAACTTGCAACCGAAACTTTAATCTGAAATCTGGGCGCGGACGCCGGGCGAAAGTAGGACAGCTCTCCATATATAATTTTGTTCTCCGTTATAGTTGAAGCTAAAAAACAGTTAAAATCACTTTAGTTTCAAAGCTATTCAACTTACCTATATAAGAGTTTTACCATTTCATTAATACCTATGTTTACTATATATATATAGTAAAAATATTCTAGGGTATTTCAACGCAATTATGGCAAGATTTAAGATCAACTATGGCAATTTTAGCTGATTTCTACTTAACATTATTTATACATAATAGGCTAAGTGGAATGAGCGCACATTGCTAAATGATGTAATCAACTCTTAGTGACTTTCAAACATAGTTGCTGTCTTTGAATGAACTGTAGTCACTTGCATGCAAAATCTTAAGTTTTGATGATATAATTAATGGCAATCAACAAAGCTTATATCAGCATATTTCTGTCTTTAACAATCTGACTTGAACAATCATAACTCTGTGATGAAGGGTCTGACAAGTACAATATTATCAGTTCTATTTTTAATCCACTGTTTTGTCAATCTACAGACAATGTGACTAATGGACAGACAAAGGCTTTTTATGCACTCCACAGTCCAGGAATTTATTTAACTCATGATTTTCTTTAAAATATTCATATATCCTTATGATTTCCACCCAGCAGTGTCCTGGAAAATTTGAGCAGCCTCTGTACTGTGCCTCTATAGACAGAATAAAAAGTTGGAATTATAGGATATTCTAGATATAATCAAATTAAAGATTCATTATTTTGATAATCATCATCATGCATCATTTACTTACATACATGTACTGTCAATGGATCACACTTGTTCTGATATATACAACTATCTGTCAATGGATCACACTTGTTCTGATATATACAACTATCTGTCAATGGATCACACTTGTTCTGATATATACAACTATCTGTCAATGGATCACACTTGTTCTGACATATACAACTATCTGTCAATGGATCACACTTGTTCTGATATATACAGTCTATCTGTCAATGGATCACACTTGTTCTGATATATACAAAGTCTATCTGTCAATGGATCACACTTGTTCTGATATATACAACTATCTGTCAATAGATCACACTTGTTCTGATATATACAAACTATCTGTCAATGGATCACACTTGTTCTGATATATACAACTGTCTGTCAATGGATCACACTTGTTCTGATATATACAACTATCCATCAATGTATCACACTTGTTCTAATATATACAACTATCTGTCAATGGATCACACTTGTTCTGATATATACAACTATCTGTCAATGGATCACACTTGTTCTGATATATACAACTGTCTGTCAATGGATCACACTTGTTCTGATATATACAACTATCTGTCAATGGATCACACTTGTTCTGACATATACAACTATCTGTCAATGGATCACACTTGTTCTGATATATACAAAGTCTATCTGTCAATGGATCACACTTGTTCTGATATATACAACTGTCTGTCAATGGATCACACTTGTTCTGATATATACAACTATCTGTCAATAGATCACACTTGTTCTGATATATACAACTATCTGTCAATGGATCACACTTGTTCTGATATATACAACTGTCTGTCAATGGATCACACTTGTTCTGATATATACAACTATCCATCAATGTATCACACTTGTTCTAATATATACAACTATCTGTCAATGGATCACACTTGTTCTGATATATACAACTATCTGTCAATGGATCACACTTGTTCTGATATATACAACTGTCTGTCAATGGATCACACTTGTTCTGATATATACAACTATCTGTCAATGGATCACACTTGTTCTGATATATACAACTATCTGTCAATAGATCACACTTGTTCTGATATATACAACTATCTGTCAATGGATCCAGGGCTCTCGTTTGGTAAAATTTGGGGCTGAATATCGGCCCCATTCCCCCACCAACAAAGTGTGTTTTTATCCCCCTAAAATTGAAAAAAATCCCCCTTGAAATTAATATTTAACGAGCATAGAAAACGCCGATCGGCAACCGGAAATTAGTACGTATTCCACGAACAGCAATTGGAAACTAGAGGATGCTTTTGTAAAAAAGCACATGTCTCCCCCACTGCACTGTGACCTTGACCTTTGACCTACTGACCCCAAAAACAATAGGGATCATCTGCTCTATAAGACCAATCATCCTATGAAGTTTGAGGGCTGTAGGTCAAAAGGAACTCTAGTTATTATCCGGAAAAGAGAAATTGACCAACGGTCACTGTGACCTTGACCTTTGACCTACTGACCCCAAAAACAATAGGGATCATCTGCTCTATAAGACCAATCATCCTATGAAGTTTGAGGGCTGTAGGTCAAAAGGAACTCTAGTTATCATCCGGAAACGAGAAATTGACCAACGGTCACTGTGACCTTGACCTTTGAACTACTGACCCCAAAAACAATAGGGATCATCTGCTCAATAAGACCAATCATCCTATGAAGTTTGAGGTCTGTAGGTCTAAAGGAACTCTAGTTATCATCCGGAAACGAGAAATTGACCAACGGTCAGTGTGACCTTGACCTTTGACCTACTGACCCCAAAAACAATAGGGATCATCAGCTCTATAAGACCAATCATCCTATGAAGTTTGAGGGCTGTAGGTCAAAAGGAACTCTAGTTATCATCCGGAAACGAGAAATTGACCAACAGTCACTGTGACCTTGACCTTTGACCTACTGACCCCAAAAACAATAGGGATCATCTGCTCTATAAGACCAATCATCCTATGAAGTTTGAGGGCTGTAGGTCAAAAGGAACTCTAGTTATCATCCGGAAACGAGAAATTGACCAACGGTCACTGTGACCTTGACCTTTGAACTACTGACCCCAAAAACAATAGGGATCATCAGCTCTATAAGACCAATCATCCTATGAAGTTTGAGGGTTGTAGGTCAAAAGGGAACTCAAAATTTTAACCCGGGAAACGAAAAAATTTTGGGGACCAAAATGGGTAAATTTGTCCCTTGCCCTTTGAATTTAACTGACCCAAAAAAACAAAAAGGGATCATCTCCCTCAAAAAGACCAATTTTCCCCAAAATTAAAATTTTGGGGTTTTGTAGGTCAAAAGGGAACTCCTATTTTAATTAAAATTTCCGGGGGAAAACGAAAAAAATTAAACCAACGGTAAAGGGGTGCCCCTTGCCTTTTTGACCCTTAATGACCCCAAAAACATGGGATCATGCATTTTAAATTAAGAAAATAAAATTTCCTTTTAAAAGTTTGAGGGGTGTAGGTCAAAAGGAACCCCTATTTATGGGTCCGGGGAAAACCAAAAAGAAGGGGACGGACGGCCCTGACGGACGGAGGGAAAACAGGGCAAAAAACTTTTATTTTTTCCCCGAGGGGGGGGAGACAAAATTTAAATCCAAAAAAGTAAATAAAACGTTCTGGACAGTTTTAAGCATTCCAACATGTCACACAATTTCAAGTCTTACCGAAAAAGAAAATCCCCTTGAATGAAATATATTTGAAAATCATGAAAAATTCCCCCTCTGCATGGACGCCGGCCCCAGTCTCAAAATGCTAACGAGAGCCCTGGGATCACACTTGTTCTGATATATATAACTATCTGTCAATGGATCACACTTGTTCTGATATATACAACTATCTGTCAATGGATCACACTTGTTCTGATATATACAACTATCTGTCAATGTATCACACTTGTTCTGATATATACAACTATCTGTCAATGTATCACACTTGTTCTGATATATACAACTATCTGTCAATGGATCACACTTGTTCTGATATATACAACTATCTGTCAATGGATCACACTTGTTCTGATATATATAACTATCTGTCAATGTATCACACTTGTTCTGATATATACAACTATCTGTCAATGGATCACACTTGTTCTGATATATACAACTATCTGTCAATGGATCACACTTGTTCTGATATATACAACTATCTGTCAATGTATCACACTTGTTCTGATATATACAACTATCTGTCAATGTATCACACTTGTTCTGATATATACAACTATCTGTCAATGGATCACACTTGTTCTGATATATACAACTATCTGTCAATGGATCACACTTGTTCTGATATATACAACTATCTGTCCAGGGCTAGACACTAACTTTTTTTAGAGGTAGTCAGAAGGACTACCTACTTTTAGGATCAGGTAGTCCTTGGCAAATTGAGGTAGTCCTCATTGTAAAAAATAAACAAGAGCACCGCTAGGCGGAGCATTTT